GGCGTTACTTATTATAATGATTATATGCTTATCACAACATTTTTATATTATCGAAGAATACGAAATTAATAATGAAGACGAACATAATATTAATGGAAAAAACAAACATAGAAAAGATAAAATATCTTATATAAATGGAATAATAGTAAATAAATTATATATACATATATATAAAAGTATACAATAATAGATACGATAAATGTGTAGGATTAGAAATTGTAGGTTGTTATTTTGAAAAAAACATAATATATGAAATTCCTAGTACGGGAAATATAAAAAATAGTAATAACAATTATAGTAAAATGTTAAAATATAAAATGATGATAAAACATGGATTATATGCTATAAGTACTACCCTAATTCCATTACTTAGATTAATTTTTCAACTTCTAAATATAATTGGAGGAGAATATAGAATTAGTTACATCGTAGAAAACGACATGCCCCGCAGTATACAAATTGTACAGGTTTATATTTTTATATTTTTATTATACATTATTTAGGCAACCCTTATATACATAATGTTAAAAATTGTAAAATATGAAGGTTTAAAAGTAAATAAAGGCAAAATAATTTTAAGGAATATTGTCTTTTTTGCAAAGAAATATTTTATAAAAAGTAATATATGAAAGTTACATAGAGACATAATATTTTTAAAATGAATACATTAATGTTAATCTTTTATAAAATAGTGAATAATATTAAATTATTGCATACAAACATATATAAATTTATCCTTTCACTATATTTAATAGTTTTCATTTATATTTGAACATTTTCTATATTCTAAGTAAGTTTCGTATATATAGACATATAATATATATATTTTTTTTACTTTTTAATAAAAGTCTTGTTTAATAATATGTAGTTTCTCAATGATATAAATGCATAATAAAGTGTAGAATGTATAAAAAATATATTTTTTCTTTTATAAATAATTACTTGTTCGTTTGTACTTCAAGGTATTCAAAAATAACACCTGCAAAACTGTTACAATTTGTTAGAGTAATCTAATTTCCTTATAATATAGTATTTAAAAATATACTTCTATTTTATAAACTCATTTTGTAACTATCGTTTAATATATGTGATGCTCGATTTATGTAATATATATTTGAATTGTTTTTTTGTTGAAATTAATAAATCAAATGTTCTCCATCTTAAAATAATAAACTACCTTAAAAAAATGTATTCTCTTTACCAAATAAATAAAATTTACTTTATGTTTAGTTAAAATATATATTTTTCTTCTTAATAAAATAGCTTATATATAGATTTAATGATGAAATTATTTTCCTATTTTGTATTTTATATTATAAATTGTTAAAGTACAGTGATTATAGATTAACACTATAACATATATACAGGTTTTTATATTATATATATGTATGATTTAATTTAGAACTTAATATTACACATTTTTTTTATGATCATTTCATTAAGAAATATCATACAGTGTTGTCCTCTATAGATTTCAGATAATGTTTTTACCAATTTATGCTTTCATATTCATAATACTTTATATTTTATAAATTTTGTCATATATAATAAATATTATACAAGTATTCTAGTGAACATGGTTATCCATGAACTAACTTCCAAGTTTTCTTTTATGCATGAAGTGATTATGTGAATGTATTATTTACTTCATAATGTGTTTATAAGATATTATATTTCAACATTATATATTAATTATATATAGCAAGAATATATATATATTATGTGCACTAATTTCTTTTTTTGTTTCGTAGATAAGAATAGATTATATTTTATTATTTTCCTACATTTATTCAAGCAAATTTATAATCTATATTTATGGATTGAATGGAAATATATTAATTTAACAATCTTAATATTTACAGAAATATTATGATTAATCATTTTTTATTTTTTATATAAATATAATGTACTGCATGAAATTAAGAAATATCAAAAAAATCTAATACTGTGAAACAAAGAATGTAATAATAAATGTAATATATTCATTGGATAAAATTATATTAGTGATATTTCACCTTCTTTATTTTCGTAGCATGGCTATTATGTAGTAACTACCTTCTACTAAAATGTATATATATACTATATGTCAATAAAAAATTATGTATTATCTGATACATCTTAGGTCCACACACAATAATAAGACATGCGAATTTTCCACGGTTTTCATAAAAATTTAGATATGAATAAATGAATTATTTTGGCATAAAAAATATTCTTTCTTCATTATGTTTCAAAAAATATATTTTCTTTTTAATTCTTTTTCTCTACTAATAAAGAAAAACATGAAAATGTAATGTGTATTATTATGCATGTACACACAAGGCATATAATATATATATATGTATTTTTGTAGGAAGACTAGCGTATGTTATGTAATAAAGTAAATATGATTAAAAATATATTATTGCACTATTTACAAATATTTTATTTTATACATTTTTCATTGTTGATAAAATATCAAATAAATAATGTTATTTCAAAATCATATTTAGCTTTCTAGTAAGCAAAATATTTGTTAGACTAATTTAGAATAGTTTTCAAAAGTGTGGATTTTACTAATGAGCATTATGGATAAAATGAATTAATTTTTTTTACTTTATTCAATATATAAATGAAACATTATAATTAATGATATTTAATGCAAAAAAAATACATAAATATAGTATAATACGATTTTTATTTATTAATATGTTTTTTCTTATTACGAATATAATATAAATTACTAAAAAAAAATATAACATAAAAAGAAATAAATATATCTATTATTATTTATCATTATATATGAAATAAATATAAGTGTGCCTTTGTTTTGTAAGAAATATTACTAAGAATAAATATATTTAAAATTCATATAT